AAGAAAGGAAGAAAGGAAGAAAGGAAGAAAGGAAGAAAGGAAGAAAGAATATCTTAAAAATCCAGAGATTTAATCCACTGATACCAATAAATTGTTGCTCTTTATATCCGCCATATTTGTCGAATTCTATTTCCTCCACGCCGTGTCCTCGCTTTGTTATTTCATTCCCTTGGCCATGTTCGCTTATCAGCTGCTCTAGCACACATTCAATCACGGAAATAAAAATAGATAACGTGACAGAAAACGAGAATAGCGATGTAACATAAAAACAAAATACGATAACGAGGTCCACAATCTCGATTAAGGTAGCGATCATATTGGTTGTGACAATGGGATAACTGTCCCACAATACTTTAAGTTTTAGATTAAACTACATTATATTTGCCTTTCCACAGCCTTGAATCTAATCCTCCATCAAGATGAGCTTTTCAAATAGTGACAACTGTATAGGAATCAGAGCTCCATATTATCTGTCAATCACAACAGCCGTGCTAAGTGCAGCCCTGTCAGCCATTACCGTGCCAGGCAATCTACTGATCTGCATTGCTATATTAAAGGACCCACACAAGGATCTCAGAACGTCCTTTAATTACTTTGTTCTCAACTTGGCCATAGCTGATCTGATAGTAGGCGCTATCACTGATCCAATGAGTGCCGTGTTCCACGTCCGAGAGTCTCTTGGGTACCCTGTGGAAAGCTGGATATGGCTGCTTCATCTGTCATACTTCATATCCTGTACGGCATCTTTACTCAGTATGGGAGCGCTAGCCATCGAACGATATGTTATTGTTTCTTCAAACTACAGACGAAGATTCCAACCATCACGAGCCATTTTGGCGTCTGTAGGAATTCTGATCATATCTTGTATTTTGCCGACAGCTTACTTTATAGTAGGTTTTAATAAGTTTGCGTTTATATTTGCAAATACCGCTATTATCTTCACCGTCGCTATCATATGCTTCACGTTTACTAGAATTTACCACAGTTTGCGTGCAAACGTGCTGCGCTTACAGACATCGCACAGCGAGCGCATGGCAACAGCAGCCATACTCCTCGAAAAACGAATATCCAGAGGATTCATCTTTATAATCGTGTTCTTCCTCTGCTGTACTATCCCAGCATGCATTGTGATCTATTTGATCAATTTCTGTACCACGTGCAGTTGTATACTCATACACTGGTCACGTGATCTGTTTTTTCTTCTCGTAGTAATCAACTGCTCGGCGAATCAGTTTCTGTACGCGTGGCGGATGCCAAATTTTACCAAGGCTCTTCGAAAGCTTCCGGTTATATGTGGGCTGATCAAGCCGTCGACAAATAATTTTAATAGTCGTTCATTCACTGATTCCCAGATAAACTAGTCCACTACCCGTTATATGTGGGCTGATCAAGTCGTCGAGAAATAATTCAAATAGTCGTTCGTTCACTGATTCCCAGGTAAACTAGTTCACTACCCGTTATATGTGGGCTGATCAAGTCGTCGAGAAATAATTTGAATAGTCGTTCATTCACTGATTCTCAGAT